CAATTTCTTCAAATGCCTTCCTGTCCATGTGTGTATTTACACATCCTCTGCTCTCCTGGTTGACCCCTTCCGCTCTTTGCTCCTTTTTCCTCCTCCGCATGTTCAGGCGCGCGCTCTTGACTTCTAGTCGAAGGGACTTCCTTCATCCTTATTCCCGCTCCACCCCTCTCGTGACTACGCATTTGCCTTCTCCATCCTTTCTCTACCCCCGCACTGTCATCATCCTTGCCTTCGTCTCTACTCGACGTTACCCCGTCACCACTTCACGCTGATTCTGACACCCCCTCGGACGTGAGCCTTGCCCAAAGGAAAGCGTTAATACGATAATGAACCAACAATGTCGGCAATGAGAACGTACTGCACTAACAGATAGATTTATGCATATATATAAGTATGGATCGTGATATATATATATATATATACATATATATATATGTCTTCTAGATAATTCTTCAAGGTAGCCCAAGATAGATCAATATTGTTTCCAAGATACCAAAAGGGGCCCAAAACCGTCCCAAGACGGCTCCAAGCGGCCACGAAACCTCCGAAGGACACCCCCGAGAAAACCGAATCCTTCCAAAACCTAAAAAAAACACAATGTGGTACACATTTGGCATCTTCGCATGGCGCCCCCCCGCCCATTCCGGAACATGCCTGGCACGCGTCGTGCCCCGAGGAGGTCCACCTGTGGCCTCAGTGGGCGCGTTCGAGCGGGGTCATCCGAATTATCTGGCACACCCTTCACGCGGAGCGTGCCCTACAACTGGCCATCGCTCGGACGTCCATTCCCTGTTTTTTGTGTTGTTTCGTGCGTGGTTTTTTCGCCAAATGATCAAGGATGCTCCTCGATGGTCCTCGCCGAAAGAACCATGCACACGTCCGAGCGATGCCAAAACAAAGGACTCAGGAATTATCAGCGCCCCCGTGCACGCGCGCTCCGCAGCAGCCCTCTTCCCGCACTGCCCCCCGCGGAGCGCAGCGGATTTTTGGATTGCCTGCTCGTTGAGGCAACTAGCCTGTCGAGTTATGATGGCGCTGCGACTAGCGATGCAAACTGAAATAGTGAGATCGCACGGGCACCTAAGGATTGCAGTATACAGTACGAGTACACCAAACCCGTCACTTCGAATACCTCCCACCTCCACTCAATCCCCCACACCTCAACTGGGCGACTGGGCGGCAAATGCGAAAGCTGCAACAGCGGCCTGCTGTGCCCTTCCAGGGCATTCGGGTGGAGGGGGAGAGGGAGGGAGGGAAAATACGTAAAACGGGAGGGAGGAAGGCTGGGAGCGCAGCGGAGGGAGGGAGACCCGCGCACTGCGCCACGCATGGCTGCATACGGATGGGCCCGTCGCCTCCTGTCTCCTCCTCCTCCTCCTCCTCCTCCTGCCTCCTCCTCCTCCTCCTGCCTCCTCCTCCTCCTGCCTCCTCCTGCCTCCTCCTGCCTCCTCCTCCTCTGCCTCCTCCTCCTCCTCCTGCCTCCTCCTGCCTCCTCCTCCTCCTCCTCCTCCTGCCTTCGCACGCCGCTTCTCGACTCGTTTTTTTTTCGCGGCCTCCACCGCTGCCCCCCCCCATATGGCCATGTGCTGACTTTTATCCACAGCCTTTGACCCATACCGCTATACTGTGCCTGAGCTCCGGGCCCGAGGATCCCTGGCTACCTGTACTTCGGGGTCTCGTGGCATGCTTCTCGGGCGCCTCGTGGAGCGAGTGCTCAAGCTTCTCGTGGCCTCGTGTGGGCCATGTGGCGGCCTGCTGGGGACGATTTGGGGGCCCTTGGGGGCCTCCTGGGTCTGCTGCAGCCTCGGGGGCCCGCTCGTGGCGGAGGCCTCGGAAGGTCAGTTGGAGCTTCCCCTGTTGGACTCCTTTGGGGGACCTCTTGGGCCGTCTTGGGCGCCTCTTTCGGGTCGGGCGAAAGGGGGGGATAGCAAAGGGGGGGGGTTGAGAATCAGCTCACGTAGCTGCTTTTCCCGGCGCCTCCCGGCGCCGGGAGGCGCCCATGTATCGAGGAATGGGCCCCTCGGTCGGGCCGAAACCAGCTGCATGCAGCAGATTTCGTAACCCCCCCTTTCCCAAACCCCCCCTTTCGCCCGACCCGAGGCTTTCTTGGGCCGTCTTGAGGCTCTCTTGGGGGCCTCTTCGGCAGTCTTGGGGCGACCTGTGGGGCCTCAAGGGCCGTTTTGGACGCTGTTGAGACCCAAAGTGCGAACATGCTAAAAATGCACCGTCACCCTACGGGTTGGAAACAATTTTGGCCTCCAGGGGATCTCCCGGCGCGGCACCCTGCCTCGAAGCTCACTCGGTGGACAATGCTCAAAATAATAATGCAAGTTGCGCTGCGCAAAATTATTCGCAATGCCACCAACTCTTGAAGAAGGACAAGGAGCAACAGGGAAAAGGAGGAGGAAAAGGGAGAGCGGGAATAGCGCCCTGCCGAATTTTGCAGCGTTCGACGTCTTGGGGGCCTCTTGAGCCGTCTTGAAACAATATTCGGGCGTCTTCGGCCCTGTCAGGCCACTCTGGTCGCATGCAGGTGGCCCTCAGAACTGTTTTGATCGGCGGGGGGGAGGCCCGGGAGGCCCTGGAAGGGGTCAAACATGTCGTAGGCGGAAATCCCAGAGGGTGTTCCGGCCTGGAACCCGGGACCCCAGTACCACTGAAGGGGCCCCAGGACACACAAATAAATACACACAAATAAAAATATCCCCCATATGTTCCCATGTTTTCTGGGGTTCTGTCTTCCCCCCCACTTCCCATATGTTCCCATATTTTCTGGGGAATCGACGATTATTTGTGTCTGTGATTCTTCCCCTCCTGAACCTATGCAGGACGTCTTGGGGCCCTCACCGAGCCCTGGCGTCCCTGTCTGCCCCGTACCCTGCGTGCTCCATCCTTCCGATGCAAGCCGGGCGCAGAGACTCTGAAATACCCGAAGGGGTTCTGAGCCTGCTTTCCTCTTTCCTCCTCCTTCCTCCACTAACCACTAAGGGTTCTCCTTCCTCCTCCTTCCTCCTCCTTCCTCCTCCTTCCTCCTCCTTCCTCCTCCTTCCTCCTAACCTGAACCTCTTTCCTCCTCCGTCCTCCTTCCTGAAGGGTTCTGATCCTGCTTTCCTCCTCCTTCCTCCTCCTCATCACCACTCACATTGACTGGGTGGTGCGATTCGGTCGCAGCTCCAATAAAGTAGCGGCCCACGTATGGCTTGAACTGGGCATGGAAAGGTACCAATCACGCGGATCGAGCCAAGATCGACGGCCCCAGAGGAAGGCGACCCTCACAAAGCGTCCTGGCTGCCCCTCTCCAGCCTTCTCCTACTTCTAATTCTCTTCCTCCTCATTCTCCTCCTCCTCCTGATCGTTCTTGTCCTCCCTCTCCTCCTCCTTCTCCCCCGACCCCTCTGTCCCCTGCCTCCGACGACTTGAGATTTTCTAGTGTCAAGCTTCCCCCCGTGTGGACGACGACGACGACGACGATGACGACGACGACCGCCCTGAGTGGTTTGCCACTGGGGTCGCACGGCGTGCTAGATTTAGGTCGGGCATGTCTCCCTACGGGGGGATCTTGGGCGAAAAAAAAAACGGCACAAATACCCCAAAATGGTCAACAAAAACAAAAAAATCGTCCCCAGACTATGTTTTGACTAGTTTTGAATTTTCCTCCTGTAGAGGGACGGGCCCGGCTTAATGCTAGATGCCTGGGAGAGACGTTCGGTTGTGTTCTGAAGAACTTCCCCTGGGGCTTCGGCCCAGCCCGCCGGCCATCCGGAAAGCCCAGGAAAATCCACCCCTCGTTGCCCAAACCGCCTCCAAGGCAGCCTAAATGGCCCAAGATGGCTTCCAAGATGCCTCCAACCTCGAAGATGCCGCCAAGATGGCCAAGATGGCCCAAGATGGCCTCCAAGACGGTCCCTAGACGCCTCCAAGACGGCCAAGATGGCCCCAAGACGGCCCAAGATGGCACCAAGACGGCCCAAGATGTCCTCCAGACGGCCCAGGAGGCCCATAAGACGAGCCGAGTGGGCTCCAAGAGGACTTCCAAATCATTGATTGTCCTAAGGTGTTTCCGTGCTTGGGGGGGTTCTGGACTCTTCGAATTTCCAGGGGCCCACGACTGCCCAGGAGGGGCCCAAGACGACCTCCGAAGGCCAGGAGGCACCCGAGAGGCCCGCAAGAGGTCCCCGAGAGGTCCCCAAGAGGTCCCCAGGAGACCTCCAAGGGTCCCCCGGAGGCCCCCAAGATGCCTCGTGGAGAGCCGCCTGCGGGGAGCGCGCCCCTCAGCCGAGCTGGCCCGCGAGGGCCGCGAGGAGGAGCGCGACGCCGGCCACCCCGCGTCGCAGCGGCGGCCGCGGCGCGGCGCCCCAGAGCTCCAGCGCCCTGGAAAAGATCACGACGGTCGGGCGGGTGGTAACCCAGAGATCCGACGTCTTGGAAAAATCAAGGCGGAGGTTTTGCGCCGATTTCGACCTCTATGGAGGCCCTCGCCGGGCCCCGGGATCGCTAAAAAACGAGGCAATGTGAAAAACCGGTCCTGGGGAATGGGTCGAGACTTCCGGGGGCCGCGTGTGGAAAAAATCACGACGTCGGATCTCTGGGAATGGGGGGCGGCCCAACTGGGGGGTGAAGACAAGGGCCCTTTAAGGGGCTCTGTCGGGCCCCTTTTGGGCCCCTGCGGGCTCCCAAAGGGGCGCTTTTAGGCTCAAAGCGTCCCTCTGGGGCCCTGTTTTTGGTTGACCCTCCATTTACATCACCCCCCATTGGAGCACTGTTTTTTGTTTACCCCCATTCACGTCACCCCCCATTACCACCCACCCAAATCACGACGGGCGGTGATTGGCAGCTTCCGGCTTCCAGGGGCCCTTACCCGGTCTCGGGACCGTCAAAGGAGAGGCTCGGGATGCAAAGCCAGCCCTGGGGCAAGGGCCGGGGCTTCCGGGGACCCCGCCCCGCAAAAACATCTCAGGACGCCGGGTCTCTGGGTGTTCGGGGCGGCCGGGCGGGGCGGCTTCAGGACGGGCACGCGGGCCCTGAAGATCGCGCACGTGGTGGTGAAGAGCCTGGCCCGGCGCGGGCCCCGAGCCCGCCCTCGCAAGGGCGAGCGCCCCCCAGGCCTTCACCTCACGCCCGCCCGCCCGCGCGCCCCCAGTCATTCATCTCTCGTCGCCGTCCTACCGGCGCCCTAGCCCCAGCGACGAATACTGCGAGTGGTGGCCAGCCATGGTCAGAGCGAGGGGGGCCGAACGTCCTCACACTGTCCCCGAGTGGCTGAAGCAGGGACCCGCGATACGGATTGTTGTTGGTGTTGTTATGTTGTTGTCATGCTGTTGTTGTTGTGTTGTTGGTGGCATCGCTTTCGCCCGCGACCCGCCCGCGAGTCACCAGCGACCCGCCCGCGACCCGCCCGCGACCCGCCCGCGACCCACTCAAGACCCACCCGCGACGCGCCTGCGGCGGGTTCGTTGTGTAATGTGTGAAAATCGGCGGCTGCGGCGGGCTTCAAGTTTGCCTTTCATCCTCGCAGACTGCCGATGACCCAGCCGCCCCCTCACTCTTATCCGCAACTGCGGGGGATTGGTTAAGATCATTCTGGAGCCATCTGATAGCTAGCAGGATAGAAAGCAAATCATTTGCACACAGGGCTCTCAAATGGCAGTCCCGTGGAGGCCTCGACTTTCACGGGGGCGGACACTTCAGTGAGAAGATAAGCTTGCAGGATCTTGTCAGGAAACGATTGGGGAAGGGAAGGTGTTTTGCAGCATCGTTGATGAAGCCTGGATGTTCCCAACCCTTCCCCTCTTCCTCCTCCTCCTCCGCCTCCTCCTCCTCCTCCTCCTCCTCCTCCTTCTCGTCCTCCTCCTCCTCCTCCTCCTCGTCTCCGTAGCCATTTTGGCTCATGCCTTTCCATAGGCCCCCTGCTCCTGGACCTTGTCCCTCGGCGTACCCCAATCCCGAGCAGGCGTGAGGGCCTTGGGCGGGCAGGGCTTTTGGCTTATGGGCATGATGGCACGGGCGGGGTTGCTGGACGGCGATCCTGGAGGCTGGCAGCAGCGTCGGTCGGTCGCGGGCCGAGCGCACGGCCGCGCGGCGGCGGGCGCCGGAGGCTGCTGACGACGGCCTGGCTGCGGCCAGGGCCGAGCGCGACGCGGCGCAGAGTGAGTTGTGCACGGTGCGGAAGTGCTTCGAGGCCGTCGTCGGCGACTCGGAGCTCGCCGACCGCATCGCCGCCCTCGCGCCAGCCCCGAGCGCTCTGCTGCGGGGGGAGGCGCCTTCGGCCGAGGAGGTGCTACGGCGCAACGTGGCGCTGCATGTGGATGCCCCTGAAGGAGTGTCCATCGCCACGGCGCCATGCGAGGACTTGCGCCGCCTGCAGAAAAGCGACCGCCTAGAAGGCCGCCAGTTCACGGAGGGGCGGCTTGGAGACGCGACCGACTTGGGCATCTCCGTGGAGATCTGCGTCGCGGAGCCTGCCACGTTCGGAGCTGGAGGTCGTGGGGAGCGGGTCGCCGAGGGTCGCGTGCCGCCTTCTGGTCCCATTATGTTTTATAGGTGGTGCTGGTGTCCGCTTGCGCCAACATTCTTCGTTGCTGCTGGTGCCCATCATTGTCGAGGAGGCTTTTGCGAAGCAGATGTGATCCTGGATGAGCTGGCGCCCGCTGCCTTCGAAGCCTGGAATCCCGTTTCCGCCCCGCCCGAGACGCTGTCCTCGGATGGGGGCGACGAGGTGGCTGCGGCCATCGACGCCTGGGATCCAGATGCCGCTCCGCCCGAAACACTGTCCTCGGATGGCAGCGATGAGGGGGCCATCGCCGAGACCCTCGACGAGTCGTCCTTGGGTGCCATGGTTGAGGCCATCCGTGGCCAAGCTATGGCAACCACGCTGCCAGACGGCTCGGCGCAGCGCAGAGTGGCGCATTCTCGCGGGATGCGCCACTCTGCGCTATGCTGGTGCCAGCCGTGCCTTGATGATAAAATCGGGAGGGCTGGGCGGCGGCCGCCTAGCTGGATGCTGACGGCCACGGCGCCGCCGATGCGGCTGGGCACCCGCATGCTCAAGAACGTGCGAAGTCATTGCGCAAATGACAGACGGGAAGCCGCACGTCAACGCCAGCGCGATCGTCGGCTCGCGCCCTTCATCGAGGAGAGCGACAGCGAAAGCGACGACGTGCACGAGGGCTTCTACATCGGGAACTCGCCCGCGAGGCCCTCAGCGAGGTGAACCCGGTTCTCTCCTGAGGCGGCCTGAGGTCGGGACACTGCGTACCTCGGCCTCCTCCTCCTCCTCCTCCTCCTCCTCCTCCTCCTCCTCCTCCTCCTCCTCCTCCTCCTCCTGAGGCGGCCTGAGGTCGGGACACTGCGTATCTCGGCCTCCGCACTCCTCCTCCTCCTCCTCCTCCTCCTCCTCCTCCTCCTCCTCCTCCTCCTCCTCCTCTCTCTTCCTCCTCCTCTTCCTCCTCCCCTCCTCCTCCTCCTCCTCCTGCTCCTCCTCCTCCTCCTCCTCATCCTCATCCTCCTCCTCCTCCTCCTCCTCCTCCTCCTCCCTCCTCCTCCTCCTCCTCCTCCTCCTCCGCCTCCTCCTCCTCCTCCTCCTCCTCCTCCGCCTCCTCCTCCTCCTCGTTCGTTCGTTCCGTGCGGCTTGGAACGTGCCCGTCTGCGGGGAAGATCATGCACCGGAATGGGGGGACAGGTGAGGGACAGTACGCGAAATGGAGGCGTCCCTCCTCTGGAGGCGCCGCGGCCAGCTTCACTCGAAGGAGGAAGAGGAGTGGAGGGGGGACTTGTGGCTCAAGCCAGCTTCGTATGCCTCCCTGGTCAAAGGCCGAACCAACCGACAGGCAGGGGCGTCCGCGTGTTCCGGTCTCTGGCCCTTCCTTGCACGGCCCGTGGCGGCCTCCGCGCCCCGCCTGTCATGATCCGCCACGACAGTGTCTGGCAGACGTGGGAAGCACTGCATGACGACAGCGCGGCACCTGTCGGAACGCTCTTCAAGATGAGTAATGACTCTCACGCGGGTGTGAAAACATTGCATACACACAGGGCAATGCACCACATCAATGAGCTCACGTGTGCGGCGCCGGACACCATGCACATTGAAGGCATGGGTCGCCAGCTGCTGCCGGGACGCGCACGTGTAGGAGCACTCCTGACAGGCGAATACATGATTGACCTCAGCCATGCGGCGGGTCTTCGCCCATACCTGCGGGCGATTCACCTCGCGCTCTATCTTCGCAGCTCTCAAACGGGCTCTGAATCGTTTGGGTTGTGTGCGGATTTCAGCAATCCACCGGTCGATTGGCTGAGGTGCGGCTTGGGCAAACGATTCCGCCCGTGAGACCAGAAACGCCAAATCCTCCAACACTGCCTGCATCCAGGATCTACGCACACCAATGGTATGTGAAAGGATGGCGGACAAAGTGCGCGGCGCGCGCAAGCAAACACGCGTGAACAAGCACAAGCGCATGTAGAGAATCATGATTGCCGGAGCGATGAAACCCTCGCACTGCGCAATGGCCTCGTGCGACGGCGCCCGGCGCATATCATCATCTTCCCGAAGAACAGACGAATAGACTTGCATCACGGCTGTGTGCATTCTTAACAGCTCAGCAGCATACAACTGTGGCCACGTGCTAGATTTGTGCAGTCCTCGCGTGAAAACAACGCCCTGGCACAATGCAAGCCGGGTCTCAACAGGAACGCTCCTGCGCTGAAGCACGCTGTGACGCAATTGTCTGAAAACCCCCTGCATGGCACCAACTTTCGCAGTGATTTCAGGATGCATCGAGTCAGTCGAACACGTAACAGTGCCGACGTGCTTGTATTGCGACGTTGCAACAAGCTGTTTCTGAACACCCTTGGATTCGATACATATCAAGCCGTTGCCATCAACAAACAAACGCTTTTTGGCGTCTGCTGACCCAGCACCAACAAACCGAAACAGGGTTTCTGTTTTCCCCCGTTTAAAGTTGATGACAAGAGCGTGGCGGGAGAAAACGTCCTCAAATATGCCGGCGCACACTCTCATCTTTCCAACAATATCAGCAGCTGGGGCCATGAGGGGTTGCACGACGTCATCCATGTACCCCGCAGGCCCTATGCGCACCGAATCGCCCTGGGACCTGGTTGCAGGCTCCTCCCCGAAACCGGGGACCACCGTTTCACTTGAGACTTCATGCAACATCCCTTCTGCAGCGAGACGGCTTTCGACGGCGCGCATCACGTCCCAACGAGTTGCCGGCAAGGGAGCCCGAAGCCGTCTCAATGCAACCCGCCACCCCTTCAACGGGGAACCACGATTGCCTGTGAAGTTTGCTCAACATTGCAAGGCCTAGGTAGTGTTTCGTGCCTCCGCTGTCTGTCCAATGTTCATAGGCAAGCAAGCCTTCAGCAATGGCGCCCGCGTCCTCAGCACTGTATCCAGACTTCAAAAGACGAGCAACGAATGCGTCCATGGATGCCGGGGGGGCCGGGAAGGCAAGTAAGCGAGCAATACTAGCAAACGCAGTTTGCAGATCCACGAACAATGCTCCAAAGGAAAGTTTCTTTGCTCGGGCATAGTCCATGCACGCAACCATGTAGAGATGTGCAAACTCCGTGGAGCCACCGTTCAGCCCTCCTCCAAACTGCAACTCCGAGCTGGCCTTTGCAAGAGCAGGCGCTCCGCGGGCCCTCGCATGCGAAGAAAACGACTTTGACGCCGCTTCGCCTCCTCTTCCGCCTCCTCCTCCTCATCCTCCTCCTCCTCCTCCTCCTCCTCCGCCTCCTCCTCCTCCTCCTCCTCCTCCTCCTCCTCCTCCGCCTCCGCCTCCGCCTCCTCCGCCTCCTCCTCCTCGTCGTCGTCCTCCTCCTCCTCCTCCCTCCTCCTCCTCCTCCTCCTCCTCCTCCTCCGCCTCCTCCTCCTCCGCGCCGCCGCCGCCGCGTCCTCCTCCTCCTCCCTCCTCCTCCTCCTCCTGCTCCTCCTCCTCCTGCTCCTGCTCCTCCTCCTCCTCCTCCTCCTCCTCCTCCTCCTCCTCCTCCTCCTCCTCCTCCTCCTCCTCCTCCTCCGCCTCCTCCGCCTCCGCCT